CAGGCCTCTGGCCTCCAGGACCGTGAGGACTCGGTGCCTGTGTTCCAGCCGCGTCTGTGTACCTGACGTGGCTGTGAGCTGCGGACGCCAGTTTCTTTGTGGGCTCATCCTTCCTCCGCCTCTCCTGACTGCTGGCCTTCCCACGGTGCTCTGCTCGTCTCCGCGCACCCCCATCCCGATGGGCCACCTCACGGGGGCTGCACGTCTCAGAAGCAGAGACTGCACTTGCTCTTCTTCACCACGTGCCGTCGCGTCTTCTGCTCGCACTGAAGAAAGTTCAGTAGAATAATCAGAATACGGGCCAAATCTTACTAATGAGCAAGGAGGAAATTCTCATTTTTGTCAGTTTGTCAAAGCATCCTCTAGCCAATAACAAGGCTATTAAAGTCAGCTTTTTTGTGATTAGAGCTGAAGTGGGGTGTTTATTCTAAAGCAGACTTCCAGGGTGGTCCTAGGATTCACACACAAAGTCTCCAGGCCAGTGGACGACCTGGAGAGGCAAGATTTACAGACTTTCCTTCCCCAGGCGTCTTCGGTGGTTTCTCACGGCGTTCTCTGGTGGCCTCGCTGTGCTGACTGACTCAGACGGGCCGAGCGGCTCTGGGTCCGCCCCGCAGAAGTGCGCTTCGCCCCCGAGTCCCTAGGCTCCTTCACCCGCCAAGTCACCCTCCCACAGGACCAGCGACTTCCACCCTCACACGTGCTGCCTGAGAACAGACTTTCTCTTAAGCCGCAGCACAATCGTTCACCCTCACCCTGCACAAGGTGCCGGGTCTGCGAGCAGCCCCGTGAGGCTGAGAGGCATCTCGGAGGGCGGGCACCAGGCAGCTCACCTCACGTGAGGTTTGTGGGGCTCCCCGTGGGACAGGCGACGTCATCTGTCGTGAGGAACCGGGCACACCGCTGACCCACTGACCCACATCTCCCCGTGTTTCCCCGCCCCATCCACTGGTCGGCTGGGACTCAGCACGAGTGTCGATGCCGCTGGTGATGTAATTTCTGGAAAGGTGGACAGTTCGTGTCACAAAAGGGAGTACTGTGATGCCCCACACACAACAGACGGTGGTGTTCCTGAAATACGCAGAGAACGCTGCAGTTGTGTGAACACTACCTTGTGTTCATATGTGAACAGAGTTGATTCTGAGCTCAGACCGTTGTAAACAGGTTTCTCACCTGCTGAACATTCGGTGGAGCATCTGAGGGTGGAGAGGCATCTGTGCAAAGAACTGTCCGCACGAGGCCAGACGGCTGGCATCCTCGCCCCTCCTCTAACCCAGTCGCCGTGACGGCCACAGGCCCCAGCTTACAGGGCTCCCCTGGGGGTGGTTCCACCCCCACCCCTCGGAGAACTACTGCAAGGATCCTCTAGGAACTAATGTTTCTTGTGAAGAAAGATTTTTACAAAGTTCAGCACCTCCATTAACATCATTTCAGCTTCTTTTCCTTGAACAAGTAACTTTTTGCTTGTTGAAATCAAGTAAAATGAATCGTAATGCCCTTTAGTTTTAATAAACATCTTTGTTTGATTCTTTAGTTATAAAATTCTTCCCAACTATCGGCGTGGCTGTCACCTACTCAGGCTCCTGATGCTTGAAATGCCTGTGATTCCAGCAAAAATTAATGATCTTTTTTTCTCAGTGGTGGGATCTGGGGGGTAACACTTTACTTTCTTATTTGTACTTTTCCTATTGCTTTGATTTTTAATAGGATGAAAACAATATTTCTTAAAAACAATAAACAAGATACTCTGAGCCTCTGGGGAGCCCGGCCTGGGGAACCCGTGCAGCTGAGGGGTCTGGAGCTCCCCACAGCCTGGCCATCGGGTGCTGGGCACTGGGCCCCAGCTGCCGTTCACACCGTGGTCCTACAGGCCCAAGGGGACTGGGGCTCCCCGGTGGTCTCAGCATCGGCTTCCCTGGTCTGTCTCCCTGACGCGCTCTCTCCCCCCCTGCCGTCTGGCCTCTCCCAGGCGCTAGGCCCCGTCCTGGTCTCCCTGGCGCTCTCTCTCTCTGCGGCTTGTCTTCTGTTCTGCCTCACCCGGGATTCGCTCTCTCCCTGGCAGCGCTCTCAGTGGAAGGTCCTTCAGAATCCATCCGCGCCACGGCCTCCATCACCTTTCTCTGAAAAACCTCTGTGGCCGTGACAGACCCCTCAGGCCCCAGCTGTGCCACCAAGTACAGCACAGCCAGTTTTGTTGGGGACAATTTATTGATGCTCCTTCACTCACTTCCGACCTGCAGGTCGACTGTTCCACTCTGGTTAGTCCACTTGGGGTTCGGCCACCACTCGCCCACGCGTGGCAATGACACAGCAGGCGGGCCCCAGACTGTGAACTGGGCTGTCCGCTCCTTGAGGGGAGGCCACACTTTGTCCTCACCAGTGCCCCACATGGTCTGGAGCCCCTTTCTGAATCACAAATGATAAACGCATCAATTACGTGGGGCCACACTTACGGGACAATCAGATTCCATGGTGCTGCCAGTACCCACACAGGCCCCTTAAGGACTCACAATACCCTAAGAACTCCCTGGGCTGCACTCATCAAACTTACAATAATCACACAGATGCTGACGTCTGTCTGCCTCTCCCGCCAGCTGTGAGCCTGTCTTTGATCCCGTTTGTATCTTCAGCGTCCAGCCCAGGGCACCCAGAAAACAGCTCTTGAGTGGGGACCTGAGGTCTCAGTCCTCCTGTGGAAGGTCAGGATGGCACTGGCCTTACCCAAGCCACTGAAGAACATGACAGTGTCTGAGGCGAGCATGTCCTATGGCGGAGGTGCCATTCGGACACGTGCGGTGTGCCTCCTCTGCCCTGGGGCTCGTGGTGTCATCGCCAGGTGGGTGACACTGTGGGTCTGAGTTTACACCACAGACACTGGCTGTTTCCAGAAGCAGGACAAAACCATCGGCAAGTTGGTGAGGCTGAGTTTGACGTTTGCCCGTGAGGAGGGATGGTAGCGGGGTTGGCATCAGCGATGGGGACGCTAACATTCCATCACTCGTGGGCGACAATGACCGTGGTTAAGATCCAGGCAACGTTTCTCCATCCGCAAATCGGGCATGGTGACAACTGTTAACACCAGGACAGATTCTTGTGAGAACAGGAAGATCCCACGTGTAAGGAGCTCATCCCACGCCCGGCACAGCAGGAGCCGGTGCTCCCGCGTCCTCCTCATCTCCATCAGGGACACGACTGAGAACCAGGTGAGGGTCTACGTTGCGGCGAGAGCCTCAAGAGATGAGAAGCTGGGTTCCATTGCAGCGTCTGTGAGGATGCGCAGACTGGGCTGCCCTGTGACCCACAGACATGCTGACGGGACGCTGTTCTGTGACAATCGCCTGGGACGCTGGCTCCTGGCAGTTGCCATCAGCTACTGTCTGCGCTCATGCTGGAACGTTCTAATCCCCTAAGAAAACATTTGTTACTATAGGACAGGCACATCTCCAGCAAGGTTGGTGGTGGTTAAATCTGAAGAGGAGACATTCCTGGGGATAATCTCTAGCAAGAGGGCCCCGCGCTTCCCCGGCCTCACGAGATGTCCGGAAAGCAGACGTGGGACAGAAACGTGACTCTGGGTTCACGGAAAGCCCCCACGTTCACAGGGGCTTCCACTTCGCCGTCTTCCCAGTGCTATTTCAGAATCCCCACTCAAGGGCACAGGAGGGTCCATCCATAGGGATGGAAGCTTCCAGCAGGCTCCCTCAGGGAAGGGAGGGTAGCGTGTCTGAGCCCCACATGGCTGCGCAGGGAGAAGCCGCCCATCCAGCGACAACTAGACTCTCAGCGTGACCAGCAGAAACCTGAGTCCAGAGACCGTCTGCACCCAGAGAATAATAAAAATAACAGCAGTGAACTGACTGCACACTGAACACGTGCAGGCGCCAAATTATGTATCCAAACACCAAAACATGTAAAGAACTCTTATAATTCAACAACAAAAACCAAATAACCCAATTCACCAACAGGCAAAGACTCCAACAGGCATTTCTCCAGGGAAGAGAACGACGGATAAGCACATGAAAAGATGCTCGACATCACTCATCATTAAGGAAATAGACACCCAAACCACCACAAGATACCACCGCACACCCATCAGGATGCCTGTTATCAAGAAAGAGGAAAGGAACCAGTGCTGGCAAGGATGTGGGAGCCGGCACCCTCAGCCCTGCGGTGGGGACGGAAGATGGGGCGGCCGCTGTGGACAACACTCTGCAGTCCCTCAGAGTTAAACACAGACTTACCACTTGACCCAGCAAAACTCTGCCCTAGGAGAAGTGAAAACAAACATCCACACGTTTGTTGCTGAATTTTGTATGTGATGTTCACAGCAGCATCATTCCCAACAGGAAACCTGCCCATCAACAGAGGAATGGATAAAAGTGTGGTGGATATGTGAGACGGGACATCACTCAGCCTTACAAGGAATGACGGTGGTGATGGGTGCACAACACTGTGAGTGTACTTGATGCCACTGAATGGTCCACTCAGAAATGGTGAAGGTGGTGAATGTTGCGCTGCACGTACTTACCACAGTAAGAAAGTACCTCCGCGGACAGAGCCCGTGCCCTCCCACAACCGACGGTGCTTCAACCTGAGCAGCACTGGAGACCGGTGACTGCCCCCACCACAAGACAGAAGAGCAAACAGCAACAACGGTGCCCGATGTCATCCTCAAGGGGGAGAAGAGGGGAGAGGAAGGAAATGACAACTCCCACTAGAATCCAACTACCTAAGCCAGAACTCTAACATCCACACAGCTTTCTTTAAACAGAGACTTTCAGATACAAAGTGACTTAAAACTTTATAAAAACATATAACAGCTTCAAACTATACAGTTTATGCAGTTTAACAGAATGTCCATTTTCAATTTTTACAAGAATTAGAAAAACAGATCATCATGTAGTAAATTCTCATTTAAAGTCTCAGATGACATCTTTCCATTATGTATAAATACACAAATAAATAATATGGCAGAAAGGGCCTCAAAGTCATTGGGGATTGGATTACAGAGAAAATGCAGAGAAGAAGTCCATCTTCTTTGTATATAGCAATCAAGTCTCAGCCCATTTCATATTTGTCTTTTATATTTTTGTGCTAAATGTTAGCTCCTCTTAAACAGATGTACTGATTCTATTCACTGTTTTTCTCAGGAAGGATATGTGTGATCCAGTAATTAAAGAAAGCTGAGACGACGCTGGCATGGTCTGCAAAAACAGAACAAAACAAACAAACAAAAAAAACCAAAACAAGAAAAATTATGAATTATTTTGTAGATAGTAGCCTTTGAGCCCAAAGTAAACCCTGAAACAGTCTAAAAATATGCAACTTTTGTATAAAAATGATGCTGATGGTGAAATACCACACTTGTGACTCATACATTATATGACAAATATGGCAAAAAAAGATGGATAAATTCTGAACATTCGTATTTTACTTGGGTACGAGCCCCACAGGTTCACAAGTTCTATTAAACCTGAACTTCCTAACGTCACAATGCAGTATCACACGCTCAGCATCCGAGCTGAAGGAAACCACACACGAACTGAAGCGGACTGGGAACAGGGTCACTCCACAGTGGACAACGCTGCGGGAGGTCAGAAGCAGGATTCTAAGTGAGATGAGGCTGCGCACGCACAGCACCGAGCTCCAGGAAAGCCAACCACCTTGTGGCTGTGCGTCTCTGACCCGCCCTTCTACTGCGTCAGGGCAGAACTCCAGCTGGGAGTCAAGACTCTCCTCAAGGGTCAGGCTTCATGACCTGCAAGGACGCTCATCACGTGCTGCCACCAGACCTGCGTTCACACAGGACTTCTGCTCCAAGGTCATTAACCCTGAGAGCGGCCCCCCGCCCCGTCTGCTCAGATCCTGCTCCCCGGAGCTGCCCTCCGGCTGCTGACCCTGCTTCTCTCCGGAGCCGGGTGGGACGAGGGCCTGGGGACCGCCCACCCCAAACGGAAGCCCATGGCTAAGGCCCCCGAGCTCCCTCCTCTACTGGGGCCGCGGCCTGCCCTGCGTAGCCTCGTTCCCTCGAGGGAGGACGACAGAGCCTCGCTCACAGGCAGCGGGCGAAAGGGCACCAGCTCCCACAGCACCTTCACGGTACGTGCAGCAAGAGAAACGCCAAGAAACGGCAGCTCTCCCTCACGGTCACCTACGAGGGTGCATGCATGATGGCACGTGACATGTGGGGGCGGGGGCAGTTCTCTGACCACCAGCCTCGTCCCAACACTGTCAAAACGCGCACATGCCTGAGACAGGTTTTCTACATCCCAGGCAAACAAGTCGTCCACGAATCAGGAGACGTAATCGCCGAGCCAGCAGAGAGAAGGGGGCGACAACAGGGAGAGAACACGGCGCCCACCTCAATGCACTGCTTCCACGCTTGTCCACAGACGAGGAGGGGCAGCCCTGCTCAAACCTCAGGAGCTGGTTTCAGGAGAAAGAAACCATTTCAAAAGGCTACACCATGATACCCGCATTAGACACACCCGACATTGAAAACAAAGCTTCGCCACTTACGAAATTCTATCTTACAGAACACCTGGACACCAGGAAAACTACTTCACACGTAAGTTCTGTCTGCACCAGCTGCTCACGGCCAACGTGCTTCAGACAGAGCTGGTCCAGTGATTTTAACAGAAGAAACTGAGAAGCATTTCTGCTCAACCCCACTCGCGCCCCAAACTCTGATGCACATCAGAGCGATGCAGGAGAAAAGTCTTCAGAGTGAGGAACACAACAGAAATTCAAAAACTTTCAAATGACTTACTTTCATCTCTCATAAAAACGTCATATTAGTTTAACTCAATAAAATTGGCTTTTTGCAATTTGAGATGAAACTGTATTGTGGAAATCTAAATCCTGAATACAGCAGCCTGACAACCAACAAAAGTGAGGAGGAATATGGGACAGTGGAGGAAAATGGCAGCTCTAGAGCGGGCTCCTGGTCCCCTGTGACCCGGGCTCCCCTCCTCAGCAGGAGGAGCTCTGCCCGGCTGCTCACAGCTTCCCCACCTCACCAGTTTGTCCTCCTCTACGGGCTGTTCCCAGCAGCAGCCAAACCTGCTGCTATTTCTCCCGTTTTAAAAGCAGAGCCTCTTGACCCCACTTCCCCCACAGGGCTCCTTCCTGCCTCCCTCACCGCCGCTCCTGACGACGGGGTCTCGGCGCCCGACCTCCTCTCCCACTCTCTCCAGACCCCGCTCTGACACGGCCTCTGCCCCTGCCCCCGACTCTGCTCTGTGAAGGTGGCCGGCCAGTGACCGCCCCAATTCTCGGTCCCTACACCTGGATGTCCAGCAAGCACCTCGAATTCACCCTGCGCAGCACCGAGCTCGGGATGGGTCCCCGACCTGCTCCTCCGACAGTCCTCCCTGCCCTCCGAGGGGCTGCCTGCCCAGGCCAAGACGTGTCTTGTCTCTCCTGTCCCTCCTCTGGTCGGCAGTCAGCTGACGCTGTTGATTCCACCTCCACGGCCTGCCCACCTGACCTCACCTGGGGCAGCCACCTCTCTCCAGGTCGCTGCCCTCCGCCCCCGCCCCCCTCACTCCAGTCTGAACTTGACAGCGGAGAGAGCTGGCTGGGAGCAGGCAACACTGTCGACAGAGCGCTCCGGGAACCCCATTCCTCTCAGAGTTTGAGAGCCCACAGTCGCCATGCCCCCAGGGCTGGCGCCTCTCCCACTCCAGCCTCTGCCCCACGTCCCTCACTATCCTCAACACTGGCCATGCCCCGTCTGAGAGCCCCTGCACCAGTCTGCAAGGGGACCCCCTTCTCTGCTTCATTTTCTTCTCTGCAGGCTTCTCTCTAGGAAACACATGCCTTACTTATTTTTCTTGCTCACTTTCTGTCCCCCCAGAATGTAAGCACCAAAGGGCAGGGTTTTCCCCTGCTCTCTTCACAGGAAATCCCCCTAGCTGAGAACAGGGCCTGGCACGGGTGGATGAGACATGATCTCCTGACAAATAAGCTAATTAACACACGGGTGGGGCAGCCCCTCCCGGTCCCCGGGCAAAGACCTCCTCACCTTAAGAAGCGCAGTGCTCACTATTCCTGCCTACACCTGCCGATCACAGCAGGGCCGGACTGTAACTGCCTTACTGTTACGTAGCTGGAGTTGATGTCTGGCTTTCTGACTCTTCAGCTACACCACAGGTTTCCAGGATGGAGACCACGCATTACACTGATTTTGAGGTTCCCTCAAAGTAACCTGCAGCATCGCTTCCATCCATTCACTCACCTGAAAACCTGCCAGGGGCCCGTCCTGGGTCGGGCACGGAGCTCTGCACAGTGGTATGCAGGTAAAGGGCTTCTCCAAAAAAGCCCCGATTCCCGACACCAGTGTCTGTGGGTTTCTCTGGCCTAATTACCCCTCAGCCCATTTCAAGCTACCAAGGTGAAGTCCCCACCCACGATGCTGGGAGACATGAGCACAGGGGCTCCAGCACGCCACAGTGTGCACGGATGGTACCCAGTAAAGGCTGAGTGAGTCAACAAAGAAAGATCACCTGATAACTCAGCCCTCTCTCCAACTGTAGGGGTTCAGTAAGGCACACTGAGATATCTGGACGACAGAACGTTTACCTTCCACCAACCCAGCAGAGGAGAGGGAACAAGGAAGAAGAAATGAATTCTTTCACTTCTATTTAAAAAGTAACGAAAGTTTAGCCCTAAGAGCTGGTAGCTCACCAATCTGGAAAATTAGATGCGCGTGCACTTCTGCCTTTATTACATGAAAGATTTTAATAGCAAGCAGAGACAAGCTGCACATTCCTAGGTGGGACTCTGTTCTTTGAGCCGTATGCGCATCCTTACGTTTTCTGATTCCTGACTGTTCGGGGAGAGTGCAGGTTTTCAGAGCAAACCCAGACAGGGGTGTCTCAGGCAGCACAGAGAATAAACGTACATACCGGGCGGCATCATGCAATGTTCTGGGAACAGCTCCAGGGCACTCTTCAGTCTTTCAGTATCTTGTGAAAGTAACAGCGTTTTCATGTGATCCAGAATGAACACATCTGAGGGAGACAGACTGTGAGTCTCAAGATGTTTAAATAGCTCCTCTGTGGTTTCCATAAAGACAGCTGGGTCTGAATCCTTGGAGAAACCTAAACAAAGTTAGGGGCATTAGAAACACACCTTTATTCTCATTCTCATAAGCTGAAGACGAGCTCTCATCTCTTAAGGAAAGCCTCAAACATATGTTTCTACTTAGAACGAGATGTTTGGGACATGAAAGCCACCAGGAGAGACACTCAGAGAACTCTGACAAGCAGACGACAGCGGGAACCTGGCATCTGTGCACATGCACCTGACCCGGTGAAACGGCGTCCCAACAGGACATGTGGCTGAGCCAAGAACGGCAGTGGGACAGACAGGACGCGGGACCCCGCTCTCAAAGTGCGGCCAGCGTCAGCCAACAGCAGGAGCACGGTTGCCATGTCCCACACGTCTGGAAACCACGGGAACGAGGCCCTGGCTTCCACGCATCTCTCGTCTCTGTCACTGGTCTGCTCATGTCTGCGTCTTCCATGCTCCCTCCCTCCCTCCTTCAGCCTGGACTCCCCCTTGGCCTGCCCACTTACTCTTTCTCTTTTATGCTGAATCTAATCTGCCGTTGACACTCATCTTTGCATTCTTAATTTGAGTTATTATATTTCTCAGGTCTAGGATTTCCATTTGGTTATCTTAATAGATTCAAATTATCTGGTGAAATTCTCCAATTTTTCATCTTTTCTCTCCATTTTCTCCCTATTTTTTTGAACATCTTAATATCAGCTATTTTGAATTCCTTGTCTGATAACATCAGTATCTTCCACACTGTGGTGTGTTTCTACCGCTCTTTTTCCTCCTGGTTTTGGTCATATGGTCCTGTCTCTTGGCAAGCCTGGTAAGTTTTACTGAACGAATGTGAAAATGTGTAGTGCTCTTGGCTAATGATATGCTCCTCCAGAGAGGGTGTCCCCGTGCCCCTGCGCAGCAGGTAGAGGGTGGTCAGTGTGATCCGTTCAGGGACTGAGCTGACCTCAGGTGGGCTGCGTGTCCGGCAAGGGATCATCTGTGCCTGGTCCGCCCTTGTTCCGAGCACGTAGCCCTCTGTGCTGTGCTTGAGGGCTGGGTCAACCCTTGTCCGCTCAGCACTTCAGTACGCAGTCTACCAGAAAGCCCACCATGCATTCAGAAGCGCTCTGCATGCTTTCTTACCTTGTGCCCCACAGCGGAGGATGGGGCAAAGGTTTTCAGGAGAAGAGTGTTTGGTTCTATTCTCTGGCTCTCCTTTCTCACCAGGATTGGCCGGCCCCTGGGCTCCCCACTTTTCTCTCTCTAGACCTGAGAGACTGCCAGCTCTGCTGGTTTGTCTGCCTCTCAGTGCTCAGCTGGGCCCTCTCCCTGGACCTCACTCAACAGCCCACACCCAGAATCGGCAGACAGCCTGAAGGAGAAGGTGGCTCGTCTCCTCGTGGGTCTCTCCTCTTCTGGGATCTGTCCTCTTAGGAGCTTTTCCTCAATTGCTCTTAGATTCCTTCAACAGATATATAATATATATATATTTTTAATCTGGTTTTCTAGTGTCTTGGCAAGAGGGGTTGTCTGCCACAGCTCCTCCGTCACACACAGGATGGATAACCCGCTGAGACCTTTCTGAGCCCACCCTGCTCTGCAGTGCATGAGCTGTGTCTTCCTGTCAGTGTCATCCAGGTATCTGGGAAGTGTGTTTTCAATTTGTTAATACGAAGTGCTGATGGACACACTAAGAGGAAAAGGTTAAAGTCACCTGTGACCATCTTCTGGGCTAAAACTCATTAATAATGGTATTTTCACATCACTGTTTAAATCAGTTCCTTACCCCCCAAATTATTATAGAGCCAATATTTTTCAATCTTGTTCCTAAGAACCCTGTCAAATGTCTTGCTGGAATGTGGATATACTAAACCAGAACCTTTCCCTGACTCTACCAGGAACGTCATCACAGTGGGAAAACAGCTTATTCTGAGTGCCTGGCTCCTGGGGAAACCATGTGGGCTCTGAGGCAGCACCTACTTCCTCCTGACCCTCAGGTCGGCTGTCAGAAAAGCTCAACACACGTGCGAGGAAGTGTCACCCGTGAGAAGAAATCTGCTTCTATTTTTCATCTCCTATATCAACATACATAGTTGCTCAAAGATGCTTTCTGAAAGTCTTAAATCAGTAAGTTGTGTGCAGGAAAGTAAAACAAAGTACGTTCTACAGGAGATAGCTGTGCTTCTCTGACTTCTCTACCAGCTGATGAGACGAACATGAGCTCACCACAGCCTCCAATCTGCATTATCTTTTCTCTAGAAATACAGCTGAGAATATCAACATATTCCAAAGCTGGATTTTAGAGGCAACAAATTCCAAAGCTGGATTTTAGAGGTTGGAAGAGACCAACCACGCCTGGAGTCACAACTCTACTGTGGCTGTGTGGTTTCTCCTGGTCTGCCGTGAGCAAAGACCTCCAGATCTTTGGTGGGGAGAATTTAAATATTCTGATTTTTGCCTCAAAACTAATGATCTATTTTGAATATTGAATATTTTAATATATCTTATATTTTAAACATCTAAATATTTTATTATATTTGCTAAGTGAATGCCATTATTCAAAAGAAAAACAGGAAAAACATACCATCATAAAAATAAATTTCTTCTGTTGATTTCAAAAAGTTTAGGATACTATCTGCCTTTTCATTGGTACTTTTAACGTCTTCCTCCTCGGCACATGTAACACCTTCCTCCTTGGTGCCTTTACCATCTTCCCCATTGGCATCTGTAGCACCTTCCTCACTGGCGTCTCTAACATCTTCCTCGTTGGCCTCCGTAGCGCCTTCCTCACTGGCGGCTGGCACTTCCTCCCCACTGGATTCTCTCACGTCTTCTTGCTCACTGTTGCTCTCCTCAGGCTGGTACATGAAGTTGACACCAGAGGCTTTTGTTAGTAAGCCAGCTGCTTTCTTCCTTCTAATTTGCTGTTTCTTTTTCAGTTTCCTTTTTTTATTTTTGCTGATTGTGGGGCCATCTGTGTGCCGTGGCTGCGATTTTTCTTGTAAAAGACTCTGTTGTTTCTCTAATTCTGCTTGTTCTACATGAACATTATTAAGAATTTTAAATTTTTTCTTTGATTTATGCTTTCTAATTCTTCTTCTCTTTGGTTGATCATGAGGATCCTGATCTATAAGAAAAATTCAAATACAACAATTTTCTATACAATAGAACCATAACAAACATATTAGGCTAAGTAAGTTTTCTATTAGGATCTTATAATTAGTAGAAAGGGAATTTAAAATATTTACTTTAGTGATTCTTAACCTTATCTCAACTAATTATACTATCAAGGGCCCTGGGACTTAGCACAATAAATTAACAGCCTACTTGTTCTTCAAAAAAGTCACGCACAGACATATACACGTTCACTGTTGTGATAGTCATGATATATGGTGTATTTGTAAGGATATAAGAGTTGTTGCAATGTTATTGGCAGTAAAATTTCATTCCTATGACCTTGGGGAAAAAAACATGAATTCTTATGTTTTTTAAAATTTTACTTTAGTATCTTCTAAAAGCTATGTGTGTGAGAATAAAAAATAAATCCGATGACTTGCCCATATGAATCAGCAATAGGTCACACTTTGAAATGAAGACCGAGTCTGGGCTCTCGGTCAGCAGAGGCTGGAATACAAATGAAAGAGGCCATTGGTGTGTTGGGAAACAGTTAACAACCGGCTCTCTGAGTAGGAAAGCCTGAGTTGTCACTACTCACACGACAAAGGTCTCAACGAGTGAGCGGCATCAGGAAGGGTCGACAGAAGAGGGTGGGTATGGAGATGACAGAAAGTACCACCTGTAGAAATCCCGCACTACACCCGAAGTATGTCTGCACACAGGCTGTGTCTACACCACACCCTTCTGTGTCACTGCCGACACACGACACTCCAGGCTCTGCTTGAACAGACCCAGGACGGCAACACTTGCCCTTGAACCATGCAGTGGTTTCATTAACAATTCTCACTTTTAGGAAGCTCTTTTCAGATGTTTCTGAGCCGCATACCACCTATCACAGATTATCATGAGAAATTAAATAATGTGTATGAAACTTGTGAAACACCGTATAAAGGCAAGACGTTATTACGCTAAATAAAAATCTTTCTCCAAAATTTCTACTTGAGGGCTTTCATTCTGCCCTCTGTATTAGACAGACAGTGTCTGGTTCGCCCTCCACGTTGCAGTTCTTCAAGGCAGCTTTCGTCTTTCACCTGTTTTCTCGACAATGCTGCCAGCGCAGAGCCACAGGCAGCCACGCGATCACGAGCACGAGAAGCGGAGCCTGCCGGCGAGGGCGCTCTCGAGCTGGTCAGTAAAGGCTCTTTCCTCCCTGTGCTGGACACGTGAGTGTCGACGCAGCCTGGAGTCGGCACCACATCCCGCTCCCCCTGAAAGTGCACAGGTGCGGAACCAAGCACTAAAGCTCGTCTCCGCATCCAACACCCACCGCCCCCAGCCCACCAGCTCTGTGTCATCGTCCAGTCAGACACTGCGTTCTGGAAATGGTGACATTTCACTACTAAGTTTTGAATAAGAATTCTCATTTTTTCTCGACAACCACATCCGCGAAACCTTCTTCTACTCTGAACTTGGTGTGAAGCCAAAATTACTCCTCATAAAATCATGACATAAGATTACTGTCTAGTTCATCTCCCTCCTCAGTCCCAGTAGATCACTGAATACAGTATTTTCTGTCTCATCTGCAAGTGTCCATCAGGTTGAGAGGCCGGCTAAGCACAGCCGACAGATCGAAGCTGACACACGTGTCTCTGAATAGCCCACCCTTGAGCTGCTCTTGTAAAATATTCATGTTTGAAAAATGACCACCAGTTATGGATTTTTTTTTATTTCCAAGGTTCAGTTAAAAAAAATTAAATTTATCCTATTGTTGTCTATTCAAAAAATACATGCTTGCCTTTGCTTGCCTTTATTAATCCATAAGGTGTTTTATCATCTCAGAGTAAACCCACCAGGAACCAACACGCAGACCCCTGGGGGTACAGCCCTGCCCTCCACTGAGAGCTTCCCTCATTTACTCTCCAGGCCTTTGCCAATACCTTCCTTCTTTGCAGGCCCTTGCAGCCTGGCTAACTGCCCATTTCACACTCTGGCGTAGTTCTCTGTGTAAGTGGTCAGACTACAGTATAGACTGCTGCCCTGCTGAGAATGACTACACTTTTGATCTGTTATTTTAAAAGATTATAAGACAGTGATTTAAGAAGGGGCAGGTGGCAAAAAAGGCCATAAAACGATAACTATATCACACTTTTTTCATGTAAATATGTGCATGTACTTTTAAGACACCAGGAGTCCAGACCCCAGTTTGGGCTGTGGTCATTGCTGGGTGGTGAGTAAAGGCTGGTATTTTTTCACTGTACTTTCCTGATTTCCAACTTTAGAGCACTGAGAGGCACTGCTTTCATAGCGAGGAAAACTTATTATTTCAAACTTGATGAAATCATGACATCTCAAAACATACGGGATCCCACTAAATTCTACTTAATGAGAAAGTTATAATCTTAAATATAATCAGGAAAGAAGAAAGGCTACAATCAGTGATGTAAGCTAGAAAAACAGCAGCAAACTAATCCCAGTGAAAGTAGAAGGAAAGAAATAACAAACAAGAGCAGAAAATAAAGAAAGCGAAAACAACACGCGAGAGAGATGAACCAGCACTGAAACTCGGAAGGAAGAAAACGGACGGACAGCGCATGACCGGACGGAAGGAGAAGAGGAGAGAACACTGAGTGTCAACGCACATCCTGCAGGCGATTAAAGCTAATAAAAGGACACTGTGAACAACTCCATGCAAATAAACTAGACCATCTTGTGAAACGGAGAATTCTGAGAGGAGCACGCCTTACCAAAGCGACACACGAGGACACAGAACATCTTAACAGTCCCATCTCTCTTTAAAAAATGGAACCTTTACTTAAAAATAGTCCCACAAAAGAACTTCAGGCCTCGGTGGATTCCCCTGTGACTTCTATTAAACGCCCAAGGACAAAATAACAGCCAGCCTACATACGCATTTCCAGAGAACTGAAGGACAGGGGCCAGTGACCGCTCACTCCGTGAGGGCCACATGACCTTCATCCCAGCTCCTGACGAGGAGACCACAGGATGGGAAAGTGCGGCCCAGCCCTCTCATAAACATCAGCTCAAGAGTTCCACACAAAAAATTAATAAACGGACTCCAGCGATACAAAGTATTTGGTCAATCTTAATACCAATACATGATAAAAACTTGTAGCAAACTAGAAGGGAAAGGAAAATTCTGAATCTGATACAGTGTAGCTCCCAAACCCCATGTGGACACCATAGCTAACGGTGGAATACTGAGGTCAGAAAAGAGACAGGTGCCTGTTGTCATCAGCTGTGGTCCCCTCTCTCCCGGGGACACCAGAAGTGCAAGGTAAGAAAGAGAGAGAAAGGGTATAAGAAAGGGAAGGAAGAGATAAAACTGTCATTAACCACAGACGGCATTACTGTAAACACAGAAAATCCACGAGATCCTGTAGGTGAACTGTCCGTCCACAGGTGAGCATGTAAATAGTGGAATACTACGCAGCAATAAAGAGGAAGTGCACCAACACACATGATAACATGAATCGCAAAATGATGAGAGTGAAAGAATCCAGACTGCGACCCCCAAGAGTACAACCCACGTGATTCCACTCACACAGAGTTCTAGAACACAAGAGCTAACCCGGAGCAGCAGACAGCAAGGAGTGGCTCTTCCTGGGGGATCCCTGGTCTCACAGAGCAGCTCCAAGGCAGAGCTGTGGGGCAACCGTGCAGAGAGACCTGGGGCACTGAGGATGGGCCTGCTCGGGGTGCAGGAGCAGGCCGCTGAGGGGAGCTCCGGCCATCTCCAGTTTCAGTTTGCGTGCACAGGGTTATTCCCACTCCTGGATCTTAAAGTTACTGGGTGGCAGAGGTTTCTAACGCTTCTGGAAAATGACGTGCTGTACAAAACACCTTACATATGAGCTCAGGAGGGAAAACAACACACTTTAACTCTGCCTTGTTTAAAACATACGCAGCAGGGCCAGCCCAGTGGCATAGTGGTTAAGTTCCCACGCTCCACTTCAGCAGCCTGGGGTTTGCGGGTTTGGATCTCGGGTGTGGACCCACACCACTCCTTGATGGCCATGCTGTGGCAGCGACCCACATACAAAATAGAGGAAGACTGGCACAGATGTTAGCTCAGGGACAATTTTCCTCAGCAAAAAAAAAAAAAAAAAAAAACACACACACACACCTACAATGGCAGTGAGAGCTCCACTGTCAGTCACACATATGCAACTGAGAAAAAAAGATGTTTATGAGTAACTTTCACACGAGATGAAGGAAGAAAGTTTCCTGGGGGATTGGAGTTAAAAGAAGAAAAACCTCTTGGACCGGATGTAGGGCAATCATAACTTAGAGGAAGGAAATTTAAAGATAATGTGAAGTTGTGTTTCCCACTTGATTTACAGTGACCTTTCTCAGGTGAGTGCTACCAGGAGCCACAGAACTCGTCTATTTCACAACCACTGAACTTTCATTTACTCAGACATACCCGTTTCTTTACATGATGTTTTTCATTACGTTGCCCCGTTTCTTGCCAAACCAGAAACATTTCTTAAACAAGAGCTGCATTTCCATCTCGCTGGAAAGACACCCAGGACGTAAGACACAGTCACACACCTAACAGTCTCCAGCACAGCCTCATAAGAGGGGGCTGGTCCTTGCTGGGCTGACCACGAGAATGTCCTCAGACTTAGGAAAGAACAGATTACCACAGGGAATGA